GCTATGAAAAACCAATTAGAATTGGAAAAAGCCAGGGCTGAAGAGAAAGCTCAGGAACTACAGCTCAAGGAATTAGAGATTAAGGAGAGAGAGAAGGCAGAGGCCAGACAAATGGAATTAAGACAAAGAGAAACAGAATTTTAAATACAGATGAAACAATTGGAATTAGTTTCTCAAAATAACAACAATAATAACAGTTCTAGTGAAGGAAATCTCTCAAAAATCAATCTAAAGAAATTTCCCCAATATAGGAAAGGAGATTACCCTGAATCTTTCCTCATTTCATTTGAGAGAGCATGCTGGGACTTTAAGATTAAGAATGATGAAAGGTTGATAGTTTTGAGATCACAAATAAGTGGAGATTTAGCTGAACTTTATTCTCAGATGCCTCTGGAGCAGGCCAGAGATTTTGAGGCATATAGAAAAATGGTACACTGTATTCTAGATTTGGTATAAATCCAGAACACCTGAGAAGAAAATTTCATTCTCTTACCAAAAAGCCTGAAGAATCTTATGCCCAACTGGGGGCTAAATTGATTCAATGTTTGGACAAATGGATGGAATATGAGAAAGTCATTTCCCTAGACCAAATGAAAAATATAATTAGTTTAGAACAATTTTATTCAGTGTTGCCAGGGGAATTGTGTTATTTGGTCAATGACAAAAATCCTAAAAATGTATTACAGGTGTCTGAACACGCTGATTCCATTACTGAGATTAGAGATCCTTGATTTTCTAAGGTAAAAATTGGTAGAAAGGTGTGGGACAACAGGAGGAGTGGACACCCACCTGGTAGAGATTACCTCAGAAGTACCCAGACTACTGGAAGCCATTTTGGAGATAGACCCTCATCTCCAGAGCACAGTCATCTGAAACCTAATAACTCTGAGGGAAAAGTTAATAAGGCCCTTTGTTTTGAACCCAAGGCCAGTAAATGGTGTTATACGTGTGGAGAGAAAGGTCATTTTTGGGCTCAGTGTGAGACTCAAAAGACTAGGGGTTGTAATCAGCATAGGGGTGGAGATTCTATCCCCCTAAGAAAGTGTTTGTGTACAACATAATGGAACAGCTAATATTGCAGTTGAAGCTAGCCGTGGAGCTGTTGCCATAGCAACACAAGTAACAGAAGAATCAGAGAACCAAGGTGACTTCCTGTGGCCAGGGTTGTCCAGTGCCTTCTGATAGAAAGCAATCAGAATCTTCTACGTACAGTGGACCCTCAACTTACAGATGGCTTGACTTACAGACTTTTCAAGTTACAGATTTTCCTGGCTGCAAAATTTAGGTTCGACTTGCAGCCGGAGAATCGACCTACAGACCAGAAAAAACCCAAAATGGAACAAAAACAGAACAAAAACGGCCGGTTACAGATTAATCGGTTTTCAAGGCATTGTAGGTCAATGGAGCCTCGACCTACAGACTTTTCAACCTGCGGCCACCATCCCAATACAGATTAATTCCATAAGTAGAGGGTACACTGTAGCTTATGAGATGTTATCTATATTAATAATAAGTATCTAGCACTCAAAGATTCTTGTTCACAAGTTACAGTAAGTCACCCTGATATAGTCCCTAAGGAAAATATGTTGGACAATTAAAATATTTCTATTGAAGGGATTGGTTCCGAAATAGTGGTGCTGCCCATGGCAAAAATACGAATGAGATATAAGGGATGGTCAGGAATTTGGAAGGTGGCCATATTTGATCAAATTCCTGCCCTGTGTTTAATAGGTCTGGATTGAGCTGAGCATGTGAAGAGTGTTTTTGTGATAACTCGCTCTCAGGGAAGGCAAATTGAAGCCACTGAGGGAAATGATGGAAATCTTCCTGAAATAAGAGAAGTGAGAAAGGCAGCTGATCTGGTTATTCTGAGAAACCCTAAGAATCTATCTTTCATCAAAGAACAAAAGGAAGACCCTACCTTAAATGAGTGTTTGGCGCAAGTTAAGGAAATTCCACTGACCCCTGAAAATCCGGAACAATATCCCAGTTAAGAGGAAAACCCTTAGACAGCAGAAATGGCTGAGGTGGTCATGTTGGAGAATCCTAATAATACTTCCTGTATTGATGAGCAGAAGAAGGATAGTACTTTAAATGATTGTATTACAAAAGCTAATGAGAATCCCCTTCCACTGACCCCTGAACACCCAGAGAGGTTTATAACTGATAAAAACCTGGTATATAGAGAGGTTTTATCAACACCTCATAGGAGTCAAGATGGACATCACAAACAATTAATTTCCCAAGGTAAAATATAGGGAAAAGTTGTTAGAAGTAGCAGAGCCAAGCATGGGTGGGGGTACTAATGGAAAGGAGAAAGGCTTGTGTGAGGACAAGGCCCAGGAAAGAGCATTCTGTACTGAGGACAAAGTGCTGAGGCTGAGACCCATATAGGGGAGGGAATTACAGTTAGCAGGGTCAGAACCTGTGGATTTGTTGCAGCAGAACTTGAGGGCTGGGAAGTCTAGTTGCTCTGCAGTTGCAAAAGCCCTTAAAACCCTGCAATGCAAACCCCTACCTAAGAAACCAAATATTAAAGATATAAAACCAGATGATGAAAATCTCAATGCATCTAAAATAAAGTGTTTGAGATTACACTTAAAAGAAATGTGCCTGTGAATTTGGAGATGACCCATGATAGTGGTCCCCCACATATGGAGAAATTTGCACCAAATGTACCTGTGGGTGAATTTGTTGGTGAGGAGGAAGGCATAAGCCATAAGAGCTCAAGGAAGAACACATTCATAGCTGTGCTGGAGAAGGGGAAGAAACCGCCTAACCTTCCCACAGCTGAGAAAATTAAGCCACTATTCAGTGAGAGAACAGGCTTAACCCAGAAGAGGCAAGCTGATGACATCCAGTGGACTTCAGAGTGCCTGATGACTGCCAGTTAACAGAAGAGAGCACGGACTTCAAGATCTGCCTTTGTTGTGCCAGACTGCAACCAGGAGTTCATCGTATACATTGATGTGTCGAATGTGAGTCCGGGATCTGTGCTGTGCCGAGCGGACCACAGAGGGAATCGATACCTCCTATGACTCTGATCAGCAGGAAATAACAACCTAGTGAGAGACATTGGTCTGCCATTGAGAGGGCATGCCTATCGACTCTTTGGACACTGCAAGGACTGAAGCCTTACATTTGGGGGAGGAAGTTCATCCTTTGCACCGACCCTTTCCCTCTGGTGTGGCTAAAAACTATGAAAGATGCTAACACTAAGCTTGCGAGATGGACTCTGAACCTGCAAGACTTTGACTTTGAGATCTGCAGCATAAAAAGGGCTCAGAATATGGTTGCTGGTGCCTTGTCTCGAAGGCCAAATGACTAATGGATGGAAAAAAGAGTGTAATGTAGTATTAAATGTTCTGTTTGTGCACTAGTTATGAAATGCAATTAAAATGAAATGTCTCATTGAATGCTGATGAACTGAGAGGTGTATAGTGATGGGAAATAATAATGGTGAGTAGAGGTAATGCAATTTGTATTAATGTGAGTAGTGCAAATGTTTATAATTGCATTGATTGTTTTAAATGTTTAAAGTAATAAGTTTGATCTAGTAAATATGGTAATAGAGAGAATAGTATAAGGTATGTATAAATATATGACAAATATAATAGATTACATGTTAATATATGGTATATGATTTAGGACATAACTGGTAAGCATATTATAATTATGGTATTTTGTATGTAATGTTCCTTGTATGATCCATTGTTCATAAGGGTAAACTATAAGGTTTTCGCTCATGAAACAAACGTTTTCGAGTGGGGAGGAATGTGACGATCGCCCACATCACTCATGCAATTCATAGTCATGAGCTGATTTGCATAAACCTATGAGAGGACTGGAGAGGCGGAGTCAGCACCTACATGAGGTTTAGTGGGAGAAGGAGGAGTCAGATAGGGCTGGTTAGTCAGAGAGAGAGGGAACAGATACTGAGAGAGATAGAGCTGATTAGGAAATTAGGTAGAGAAGATGGTAATGATATAGCAAGAGAAAAGAAGTATGTACTGAGAGAACTGTTGATTTGCTTATTTGTAATGTGCATCTGAGAAACTTCTGTTACTATTCAATCTGCTTCACTTCAATAAATAAGTTCTGTTTCTGTTTACAAGACAAGTGTTCTGATATACTGTACGTCATTTGTATTGTGGATTGAGGTAATCCACTGGTGGCAGCGAGAGGAAAACATGATGTGAGCCTTTGTGACAGAAGGAGAAGCAGGGCTCACAAGGGCGAACACCACGATGGCTATCTAGTATATCTGCATAAACCGAACCTAAAACAATCAGGAAACAAAAAAGTTTGAAGAATCTGGTTTGAGGCCAATGAACATCGTGGAGAAATGTCAGTATTGTACAATATTTATATGTGATATTAGGGTTTAAAATCCTTAATTTACAGGTTCCCTAAAGGGTCATCATCCTTTTCAACTTACTTAAGATCTTTATAATAGGCTTTTCCTTCTGGTCTCCCATTATTGGTGATTTTTGTGAGCACCATAGATAGGGCCTTCTCTGCAGTAGCTCCAAAGCTGTTAAACTTCCTGTGGAAATCCATCAAACTCCTTTTCTATGCGCTTATAAGCATACACTGGATACACTGTAATTCTGGAATGCTTTTTAGGATTACCCTTCTTTGTGTGCTAACCTGCTTTTTGTTTCTTAACTGCCCTTGTTGTCTGAATAAAATTTATTTTATGGACTTTTAACATTCATTTATTGTGGAATTTTTATGCATTCTTATGACAATGTTTATTTTTAAAGACAAGGGGAGAAATCCTGTTCACACAGCTGTGCTGCATAAGGCCAATTCTGCCCCTGCTGGTTTCAGCAGAGCTTGGAAAAAAATGTTTGTGATACAATTTTCTGTGCTTCTTGTGAAAGGGTAGCTTTTTAAAGCTCTTGCTCTGAGTGTTAGATATCATACAGCATCAAGAGCCCATTGTATGTCCCTTTACTGTTGCCAGTATAATTATTTGTTTATTTCTGCATTTTTAGGTCTGGAGATCTCCAAATTTTGCTTTGTCAGTGATGAAGATTCTACCCAGTACTTGAAAACACATAATGTGAAGCTTTTCCTCTCAGCTGACAGGACAGATGTGTGCAATGCACTTCAAAGAGGTTTGTGTCTTACTTTATTCTTTCATTTTCTCTGAGCCAAAATACTTATTCCTACATCTTGTTGCCAGCTCTCTGTCTATGTGCCTTGGATCCAACATACCTCCTTCCTTACATTGTGACATATATTTTGTGAACCACCCTCTTAAGGAAGGTATGTGTGCACTACCAAGTTCAGCCAACAAGGGCACATAGAGAAACAACACCTGAAGAAGTGAACAACAGTCCACAAAAGCTTATGCCAAATCATCATCGTACTAGTCATTGTAGTTATCATCATCATCTTAAAACTGCAGAGCTGGAAGGGACCCTATGGATCATCCAGTCCAGCTCCTATCAAGAAGGCACAGTGGGGAATCGAACACCCAGTCTCTGGCTCTGCAGATACTTAAACCACTGAGCCATCCAACAGAATAACATTATATTTAATTCTTTTTAAAATATTGTAATAATGTATTGTTTTAACTTATAAGTTTCTTTTAGTTAAAACTTACAGTTAACTTATAGTGAAAACTTGTAAGTTTCTTTTAAGTTTATATAACTTTCTTTTAATACTGTAAATGTCTTAGAATCCCTTTTAGGAGAAAGGCAGCAAACCAATCAATCAATCAATCAGTCAGTCAGTCAGTCAATCAGTCAATAAGGATGCTAGTCTGAAAAGTCTAGCAATCAGCAAGATAAATCAACTGCTTGTTGACTTCACATCCTCTTCGTGTTTCCGCCCTGCTCCCCCTACCATAAATCCTGAGACTGGCTGCTAGAGTCGAGCACCTCAAATCCCTGTTGGAGTCACTTTATTTCAGTAGACTGTTGTGGCAAGGTTGGTTATGAAGGAATTAAGAGGAAGAGAAATACCCATAATGTTCCTCAACGCCTCAAAAAATCACTGCAGACCTGCTGAGAAACATTCTCCTTTTTCAGCTAGTTTGGGGGACGGGGAGGGTGGGCTTCTGTCTCTCTTCTTGGTCCTTCCTGTAACCAGGGTGATGGCTCCATCCACCAGTCGTCCTGCCTTTTGGAGTCTGATGGCAACAAAAGCACACAAACAAACATAATAATGAAAAAGCTACCACACTGTAAATCACCGTGACATCAGTTATTACATAGGGTGTTGTGAGGAGGCCATGCAGCTGTGGTGGATCTTGTCAAATCATTTCCATTGTGTACAAAACAAAATGCAGGACCTCTGCCTCCCTTTAAGCTTAGTTCCTGGAAGATAAATTTATGCTAGGAACCACAGCATTAATTGTAGCCTCCTCCATACCCTGTCAGTCACCATGTGTCTCTTCTGAACGGGTAATATAACAGTCTGTTCATCACACAGGAGTCTCAGCGGCACTCATCTTCCGGCAGGAGATACAGGCTCCCACAATGCAGCTGCGGGTGGTCTTTGATGGCGATGCAGTGCTCTTTTCTGATGAGACCGACCGGGTCTTTAGGGAAAGGGGGCTGGAGGGGGCCATAGCGTACGAGAAGAGTATGGAATCTGTGCCCATGGGAGAGGTAAGGCTATGCGCTTTCTTTCTGAAAAGGTTTTGTTTTCTGCATGCTTTACCTTTCTCCTCGGCAGGTTCATGTCTTCCACCCAAATGCATTTGCCCAAGGTTGAGAACTTCTGAAGCGCGACTCTGAATAGCCTACTCCTCCCCACTCCCCTTGTTGAGCTGAGGAGAGAATCTGGCTTTGTGTTCATTGCACTTAGAATTCCCTTCTTTTATTCAGCCATCACTCCCAGCCCCATCTCTGTCATCAAAGCTGATGTTACAGTGAGCAGGGCTCCTTCAGGAGTTACATTAATTTGCTGATGCAGTCACGAGTTGCAGATTAGTTTGTTTTTGTTTAGTGGTTAGGTTATCCAGAATTCATTTGTGACTTTAATGTGCAGGCAGGCAGCTTTGAAGAAATGGATTTTGGGAAGGAAAACCTTTCATCACTTGCTAACTGTAAAACCAATGTCTTGTCCATTTTGCCATGAAGATTATGACTTTTCTTTTTTCTTTTAGTTTCATATTTTCAGTTCTCAGCTGCTTTTATTTGTTCATTTTGGTTGTTATGGTATTTGGTTGTTATAGCTGCTTTAAGAGTCCTTGTGATTGACAGCTGGTTTATAAATATAAAATATAATATGATACAAGGATGCATTATAGGTGAGCTACGTTAGCATAGCTGGTAACCCATGGAAGGAGTCCACCAACCATGTATTGAGGCCAGCTATGTATTTGGCACTCTCACATGGACTTTGTAGCCCCAGGTAGGCAGTTCCAAAGAAAAAAACATTCATGGGTCCATCATGGTTAGGGTAGAAGTTGGGCCAGAAGGAATATCCACATTAGGATTTGATGGTTCACAATGGACGGGAGCCGAAGAGCAATTAAATAAGTTTATACATGCATGTTCAATACCTGAGTCCTTATGACTGAGCAAAAGGAAATTGTGTGTCTGACAGTTTTACCTATCTCCTGATTTGATTTTATTTTTGTATAGTGCTTGGACAAAAATGAAAATGAAAAACAAAGTCCTAGTACTAAATGAGAAATCAAATTATAAATTAGGTTTTTAAAAAAAAAATAGATAGAAAAATATATAAACTGAAAAATTGTTTTTACACCCCCTCTTTGAACTATGTCTGAAATGAATTGGAACATTTCAAAAATTCTCATTAACTTGTTTCCACAGTCACTTTTTCAGTACTGTCACTTGGATAAAGTACTACAATTGGGGGCACACATTTATTATTCCTATTACTACTATTATTTGTAATTCATGGAAAATATAACTTAATCCCATTCTTTCTCTCTTGATGAAACCATTTTATTTTGATTTGTTGTCTCCATCCATTCTGTGGTATAATACAACTCCTCTCTAACCTACCATATTCTGTAGGGCCCACTGAAAGCCTTTGCTCTGCATCTTGGGAAGATGTGCAAGAAGTTCAATCAAGAGGACTCCCCCATCCGTACCTACTTGGTAACAGCCCGTAGTGGTCGAGACATGGGCATCCGGGCCATCAAAACCCTTAGAGAATGGGGCTTGGCAATTGATGAGGCATTCTTCATGGATGGAGCTCCAAAAGGACCCATATTGTCCAAGATCCAGCCCCACATTTTCTTTGATGATGGTCTTCACAATATCCAAGGTGCCCTGGATGTTGGCATTCCCTCTGCACTGGTCCCTTGTGATTGCAGTTCAGAAGCAAAAGCCCACCGTACCATGTGAGGACTATGTAAAGTTTCTGGCTGAAGGAACAGTGGTACAATTCGGAATGTATTCTTTTCACATTTTGTGTGAAAGAGGACAGAACTGTTGTGTGATGTGGACAATGCCTTGGATAAAGGACAAAAAGGAAAACATGGCTTCCTTCAGGTTTTGCCACTCCCCAGATGTCATCCAATAACTATGATGCTGAGGAACCCTGTGCCGTCTGCCTCAGCAGTCTTCTTCTTCCCTCCTCATCCCTATTTCCTTTTGTGTCCTTTCATCTTAAATTGTAAGTCCCTAAGTGTCTTTTCTTTTAAAGACCAATATGGAAACTACTCAGAGGGCCTTTCCAGATGTAGAATGGGCTATAATTAATATAAATAAATTCCTGTGATATATTTTTTAAAAGTTAAATAATGAACATCACTTAACCTGAACAGCAGAAAATTCAATTTCGATTTCCTAATACCTGATTAGATCTTGAAGTTCCTTAAGCAAAGTGACAGCTTAAGCCATCTGCTTTGGTTAGATCCCAGTAATCACCCATTACGGAATGGAACCAAAGTGGAGCAATCTTATCCACATTTAAAAAACCAATAATCTCTCTCTCTCTCTCTCTCTCTCACACACACACACACACACACAGAGAGAGAGAGAGAGAGAGACAGAGACAGAGACAGAGACAGAGACACAGAGAGAGAGAGATCAAAAAGTGATGGCTTCAGAATGGTAAAGAGTTCCACCTGTGCAGCAGTTACGCTGTACCTTTTTTGTTGTTGCCATCATGTTGTATCTGATTTATAGCAACCCAAAGAGCATTTTTAAGGTAAGTGAGATATTTAAGGAGTGGATTTATCAGTGCCACTCCTCCAATCAGTTTCCATGGCCAAGCAGAGATTCCGATGCACTTCTCTTGAATCTGAGTCTGTCGAATTTTTACACTGGCTGCCATGCTCTGCCTTTAACATTATGCTAATTAGAGCTTGGCAATCTCCTTTTAAAAAGCTGTTAGTTGCAGTTATAGTTCTAGTTCCACCAAGTAGCTACTTACAGTACAGTTATAATTTTATTTTTTAAAAAATCAGACTTTGATTTCCTGTTTTGAGAGAGTAACTAAAATAGTTTTACTTTTTCAAAATCCAGATGCTATAGATTTGGCCAGTGGCCGGTGATCAGAATTCATCTCTCCAGTAAGAAGTGGAAATAGTGGTGCACATCAGAACAGCTTGAGTCTTTCCTCCCACATGCAAATCCTCAAACTGCTATTCACCTTAGAAGTGAAATTTCCTTGATTCCAAAATGCTCATGAGCACATGATAGCAAAGGATGTAACCTTAGAATAATCTTAGAACTCCAGAGCCAAAAGGGACCCTAAGGATCATGAAGCCCAGACCCTGTCAAGGAGGCCCAGTCACATCAGAACAGCTTGAGTCTTTCCTCCCACATGCAAATCCTCAAACTGCTATTCACCTTAGAAGTGAAATTTCCTTGATTCCAAAATGCTCATGAGCACATGATAGCAAAGGATGTAACCTTAGAATAATCTTAGAACTCCAGAGCCAAAAGGGACCCTAAGGATCATGAAGCCCAGACCCTGTCAAGGAGGCCCAGTGGGGGAATTGAGGATCACCAAGCCCAGACCCTGTCAAGGAGGCCCAGTGGGGGAATTGAACTCCCAATCTCTGGGAGTCACAGCCAGATATCTAAACCAGTGAGCTATCACAACAGTTAATTTATTTATTTATTTATTTATTTATTTAGTATACTATTTGCCCCTTAGGTGGAATAATAATCAGCAAGAATTATTGCAGAGAACAGTTAGCAGAACCCACCCCCCAGAGAGAAATTGGGCCAGACTGTGCACATAGCTCTTATATTCAACCAGGCCCAGTAGTAATTTGGTCTTACAAGCTGTGCCTGACACCTCCTGCATTATTCTGCCAGGAATTTCTAATGAAAAGCAAGACAAAGACTGTTCAAAAGCAGGATCAAAAATGACCATCCCATTTTCTATCCAATAGCATTCACTAGAGGGCAGCACAGAACTCTATTTTAAAAAAGCGGGAGAGCAGTCTTTGATATAATGCTTTCCTTGACATCATCCATCTCTCTGTTTGCATATAATGTATTTTTTTTATGTGAGGGAGGAAGGAGCCTTCAAACATATACACAGGCTTTGCTTTAAAAATCTTAATGATATTTATCAGTTAGCCAACATAAGTAAGAATTCACACATGGATTGGTAATGATTCTGCACAGTGCCCTTGCCATGTACCATGTACAGTGGTGCCTTGCTAGACGATGATAATTCATTCCATAGAAATCTCTGTCTTGTGAAAACATCGTCTAGCGAAAGGCATTTCCCCATTGGAATGCATTGAAACCCGTTTAATGCATTCCAATGGGGGAAAATAGTAGTCATCCAGCGAAAATCGCCCATAGGGAAGCCACTTTGCGAACCGCCGATCAGCTGTTTAAATCGCTGTCTTGTGAAAAAACAGTCCACGAAGTGTGGACCATTGTCCAGCGAAATCCTCCATAGGAAAAAACGTTTTGTGAATCGCTATAGCAATCGCAAAAAGTCAACGTCTAGCAGAAAAACCCTTTTGTGGGGTAATAGTCTTGTGAGGTACCACTGTACTGCACTCACGTCATGTATTAATGCTGCTTTATGTAGACGATGCAGTTTTACTCTCATTAATGTGCGGGACTGAGAAGACTCTTGAGGGAACTTTCGCACGTCATGTATTCATGCTGCTTTATGTAGACGATGCTGTTTTATTCTCATTAATGTGTGGGACTGAGAAGACTCTTGAGGGAACTTTCTTCCTACTGTAATCGAGAGCAGTTAGTAATTAATTACCAGAAGACCAAAGTTCTCGTGGTCAGCAGAAGAAAAGTGAAACACAATTGGGTTATTAATGGTCATCCCGTAGAGCAAGTTTCCAGCTACAAATACTTGGGCATAATCTTTCATGCCTTGGGTTCCTGCGCGCCCCACATAAAGCATGCAGCACTGAACGCTCGCAAAAGCGCAGCAGCATTAACAAGGTTTTTTCTCACCAAAGGGGGTCACCACATCCCCTCAGCCTTTCCGGTTTTCAAGGCTAAAATTGTTGCTCAAATACTCTATGAATGCCAATTGTTTGCTTTATCTGACCTACGTCCTCTTGAGGTAGATCTATCTTTCTAACTAGTGCCAATTGTTTGCTTTATCTGACCTCCGTCCTCTTGAGGTAGTTCAAACCAAATTGTTGAGATCTATCTTTCTAACTGTACCTCCCTGTATACCTAATGTAGCCCTTTGTTCTCCTCTGAAGGCCTGGCACATATGTCACTTTTTGACTCCTTTCAGTCGACTGGAAACTCCAACTCACAAAAGAAATAAGGCAAATGGGTTTTTCCACCAACACTCTCTTGGCGATGGGTCGTGCCAGTGCCAAAGCAGCACTCAAACAAAGAAATTGGGACATAGAACTTGAAGAGCATATGAGCCAGTCGGGCAAACACAGTGTTGTTACTAATAATGCCTTTTCAATATCCTCATATCTGACTAGCACAATGACAACAAAGACCAGAAGAGCCTTCACATTAGCGAGATTTAATGTTTTAACCTGTAAGCTCATGGAGGGAAGACTTCAACATATACCTATCTCGGATTGCCTGTGTCCACATAACATTGGCCAAGTGGAAACTGTAGGCCACTGTCTTTTTTACAGAGATCTACATACTAACCTCTTGAGTCCAATTATTCTCAAGATACCCAGGGAGACCTGATGAATTTTACATCAAGCTACTTCTCTCCAATCAAGAATCCCTTATTACACACTCTGCAGCAAAATTGTGTGCAGCAGCCATGGCACAGAGTTCCCTTATAGTCTCCTGAGGTCACAGATTGATTGGTTTTAGCATGAGGGTGGTTTATTGTCGAGCGCAAAGAAATTTTGTGCTCCCAACCGAAGGGACAAAATGTTTACAAATATGTATGAAGGATTCCCTCTACCCCAAAGAGCCTGTCCAAACTAGTTTGCCCTAGATGATCCAATGGGTCAAAGGATGGCTATGAAAATTGCTGTAACTGATTCTCCCCAAATACTATAATTAGTACACAGCTAATTATCTGTTGTACACTCTTCTATTTGTGTTTTGTATATTTTAAACATATGTTTTACGAGCTGGTCACTTGACTAATAAATAAATACAAAGAGTAGGCCAGAGTAGGCCACAAATATCTGTTCTCCAGGACAGGGGAATAATTAGGAGAAATGGTTGGGGAACTGCCACTGATACCTTCCAGCATCAGTTTCCTGAGACAGTTGCCTCACTTTGCCTAACAGCAGTGCCGGCCCAATTTATACCAGCTGGAGCTTTGCTGCCATGCATACTCTACAGATAACAACCATGTTGCCCCACAGATTTATTATTAACTGCTAATTATTGATGTCATTGCCAGGTGACAGCTACCGTGAGACCATCCCATCATTGATGTCAACATCTCTATTCAGCTGTTCTAGTCCCGCTCTAGGAGAGACTCTGCTGCAGAAAGTCAGAGCTACCGCATAGCGGCACATAATGAATATTCTTAATTAAGCTCTATTCCCTGGGCTTTTCGTGATGATGTTAATGGCTGAGTCAGTCAAACATCTGAGTAGGAAGGGATTAACCTTCCACCACAAAAGTGGTGCAGGACCAAATGAATTGCCAGTGAAAGGACATGGTGGCATTGTGGGCCATACTGGGTGGAGGGAAGCAACCACCCACACTCCTAGGACATCTCCATTATGCTGGACAAACAGTTCTTTAGTTGCTGATGTAGAAGGCACACAGTCATGTGCTTTCAGCAAACTTCCATCGGCATGCAGAATGATTGACTCGGCAAAATATGCCTCAACTGTGCTGAGAAAGGGAAAGATCTTGTTTCATTATCCACAAGTAGGAAAGCAGAATTACTGCTTCATAGTAACTTCATAATTAATTGCATTTATGCAATTAATTAATCTTTCCTCCAACAATCTCAGGGCGTTGTATATTCCTCTTCCTCCCTTTTGTCATCACAACAAAACTGGTATAGATTGGGCAGAGGGACTTAAAGGGCCATCCAGAGTACAACTAAACTATGAACCTTTATCTGTCTTTAAAGGCACAGTTAGGACATGGGTCTAGGATTTTGGAGATCCCAGTTCAAGAGGCGCTCACCCACCCACCCCCACTCAGTCATGAACCTCACTGAGTAACCTTGGGCCTTTTTCACACACACACACTCAGCCTAACTCACCTCCGGTTGTTGTTGAAGCCAGAGCAGAAAGCAGGAGAGCTCTCAATCTAACAATGATGATGATGATACTGGTCTAACATTTGGGATTTGGGCTTTCTCTTCCCGTTTTCATGATGGCTTTGCTAGACTCCAAAGCTAT